CCTGTGAAATTGGGCTACTTTATCATTGTTGCCACGGGTTGTTTTTCTTGTCCGCGGGTTGAATCGACCCCAATAACGTGTATTTTATCCCCCAGAACGCGATTTTTACCAGGGGACCCCCTCGAAACGCGGATAGTTTGGGCTAGTTTTGAGTAGCAATTGGGCGGGTTTTGTTATGAAAACCTGGCAACCCTTTCCCTCAAGCAGGTAACGTTATTATTGCTAACATAGCGGACTCATTGAAAAATACATTGGCATCATCTATATTAAAGAGAAAATAATCACTTCATATGATGTTTAAGTGAATAAAATAGCCTTGAATATTTTCTTGGCCACAGAAAATAACTTTCTTACAGTAATGCATTAGAGCATATAGCTATAGATTGGATCGTAAAAGGGACACTATTCAAAAACGGTGACAGAACCAGAAACTCATGTAATTTGTGCACAAAAGTTTTATTAACTAAACACCAGCACATAACTAATCTAAACAAACAAACATACAATCACTCATACATGGGTGAGTAGAAGTGGATAAATGAAACCATTTGAGAAACCAGAGAATGCAGTTATGGAAAAGGAGTCAGTTAACCACCTGAGTAAAACCATCAGCGCCGTTTTACAACAGGGTCTACAGCTTATTCTAAACCTCTGTTTCGTTTAGTTAAATGTACGATACTTGCATTGCCTTGGCTGTTGAACGAGTGTCTGAATGCAGTCTCAGATTAAAGTCTTCACGTTCTTCCGGGCCTGAAGCGTGATGACATCCAAAGATGTTACTCTGACTCAGTGGTGGTTTGGAGAGTTTTCTCCCAGATGGAATGTGATGAGAGAAGAGTACAGAGCTAGAGAGACATCAACTGAAATCCGAGGATCTTTGGTGAATGGAAAGACAAGGCTGCAGCCTGGCACAAACTAAGAGGTTTTTAGAAGACTTCTAGCTCAGCATCCTCATCTTCTCAGAATCTAAAAGAACTGCCATGATCTGGTGATCAGTGATCTTTAAAGTGTGAGGGGGGTTACACCCTCAGGATTTGAGTGAGCCAATGAGGAATGGTACCTTTGGAGGGAAATTTTTACGATCCTTTGTCTCTAGCAGAATATTCAAGATTCTCATAATACTAATGTGTTGCATAGGTATCAACATATAATATACACTCTCATTTAGATCATGAAAATACAAATTCAAAGATACCACACATGGTATGGGTGAGGTTATATTAACTATACTGATCTATCATAACGCATGTATAACACAGTATACCATACAAAACCACTATACAAAATAGTAATGATACACACAATGTTCTGGGGTTATGCATGATCATTTACAGAATGTTTTTGCTATGAATTGATGAAAGAAGTCATTTCCTATAAAATTCCCTGTTTTAAAGGGAATTAAGTAGGAGGGAAATTCTCTCTACATACTTTAAAGTTGTAAAGTTTATCTGGTCTGGCTGAGGTGTCTTGGTTACCATGGTAACCAGGGGCCTGGGGGTCATTCACAGACGTCTTGGCACCCAGTCTGGTTGTTGGGTGTTGGAATATTTGTTAAATATAATGAATAATTGTGTGTCTGATTTGTCCAGGCGCTACAAAAGTAAAGGCACACAGCATGGGCTCCCGGGGTGCTGTTATAATGTCAGGTCCTTTCCATGCTCTGTCTATAAACTCCGTGAATGGTCCGACTATTTGCCTTGGCAACAGCAGGACTCGAACCGCGGGCGATAGGCAGAGAATTCTCACCGTGACCGTAATGCGCAGCATGAATTCATCGCTATGAACTCATTGCTATGAACTATTCGTCGCTATTCAACTCCTACAAGAGGCAAATGCAAACGATAAGCACAAGCCGCCTCCTTGTGAGTCAAACATGTTCAATTGACACTTATCCACAAAGAAATGAGTGCAATGAGTGCAATGAGCACATTCAACTCCCTCGAGAGTTGAACGAGCTTGCTTCTTACCTTCACATACAACACACAGGTCGTGTGAAACCTCGAGTTTTAGAGCAAAGCCTCTAAATCAGAATCAGAATTAGAAAGAGCTTTATTGCCAAGTGTGTTTACACACACAAGGAATTCGTCTTGGTGTCAGGAGCTTCCAGTACAGAAAGTACAAACATAGTGCAGACATAGATATAATTTAAGGTAATAAAAACACTAATAATAAAGAAAATAGATAATAAATTATAAATAACAATATAGTAATAAAATATAGAGAAAAAAAAATGTCAGTAGACAGAATTGTGAATGTGCATATGTGCTATTTACAGATGAAAGTTTTGATGAGTTATTTACAGTTGTGCAGTCCTGAGTTGTGTTATGTGTTGTTCAGGTGGGATATGGCCTGAGGGAAAAAACTGTTCTTGTGTCTGGCCGTTTTGGTGGACAGTGCTCTGTAGCACTGGCCAGAGGGCAACAGATCAAAGAGGGAGTGTGCTGGGTGTGAGGGGTCCAGAGTGATTTTACCAGCCCTATTCCTTACTCTGGAAGTGTAAAGTTCTTGGAGGTTAGGCAGGGGGGCACCAATAATCCTCTCAGCAGTCCTGATTGTCCGTTGTAGTCTTCTGATGCCTGATTTGGTAGCTGAGACAAACCAAACAGTTATAGATGAACACAGGACAGACTCAATGACGGCCGAGTAGAACTCTTTGAGCAGCTCCTGTGTCAGGTTGAACTTCCTCAGCTGGTGAAGGAAGTACAACTTCTGCTGGGCCAATTTCACAATGTGATTGTCCCACTTCGGGTCCTGAGAGATGGTGGTGCCCAGGAACTTGAATGAATCTACTGCAGCCAGGGGAGTAAATTTCGTCTAACCAGTAGGGGGGGACAATAAACACAAAATTTCTCAAGAGCAATTTTTGAAGGGGACACAAATAATACAGCTAAAATTGTACTTGTAAGGATATGTATTCACAGAGGAATGGCTTACTACTATTAGTGCAGCAGGGATACCGTGCCAAATTAGATAACTCCAAACTGTTGTGGTCGCGCCGTGACAGCGCTCGTGTCCGTTGTAGACATTACTATCCATCACAGTGTTGCCAAGTCCGCGGTTTTCCTGTGAAATTGGGCTACTTTATCATTGTTGCCACGGGTTGTTTTTCTTGTCCGCGGGTTGAATCGACCCCAATAACGTGTATTTTATCCCCCAGAACGCGATTTTTACCAGGGGACCCCCTCGAAACGCGGATAGTTTGGGCTAGTTTTGAGTAGCAATTGGGCGGGTTTTGTTATGAAAACCTGGCAACCCTTTCCCTCAAGCAGGTAACGTTATTATTGCTAACATAGCGGACTCATTGAAAAATACATTGGCATCATCTATATTAAAGAGAAAATAATCACTTCATATGATGTTTAAGTGAATAAAATAGCCTTGACAGCCTTACTTACTGGAGTTCCACAACTATTGGCTTTGTTCTCTCTCACTGGACTTGTGTGTGTGTAGGTGATGTAAAAGAGGAAAGCAGGCATTTGGACCAAAGCACTGTGAGGCAAGGGAGGGGGAGACTCAAAATGTTTCTAAACTTAAAACGCATTTTTGTGGGATTTTGTGCGTGGTTGACTCCTAACTTTTATAAAGAATATCTCTTTGGATTTGAGACTTTAGTCTTTGCAACTTTACAGATCTTCTTTATGCACTGAGAGCTTGTAACACTCCAAAGAGAAAGGAAAAATTTAAATCGCATCATATGACCCCTTTAAAGGTAGGGCAGGCAGTTACTGCGCTCCTAGTGCCATCTAGTGGAACTACAAAAATAAAGCATGTTTCGAAACAACCTTTGCAAACGCCCTTCGCACATCATGCCTCCCCCAACTTAACATCACAAATGGGTCTATAAAAGTGAAGGCATTTGTCAACACGTAAAAGTAGGCTACTTTTATTAAATGGCCCATCATATTAGGACTACTTTTAACTAGGGCTGTGCGATTTAGGGGAAAATATCAAATTGCGATTTTTTTGACAGATATTGCGATTGCGATTTGATTTGCGATTTTAAATTTGCAAAGTCAAGCTTCAGCTCAATATTGTCAATAATGTGCAGCACAGTATGGCTATCATTACCCTGCTGAAAAAAACAATAGAAACCATCACAGAAATTCTTATAGTTTCCATTAAACCATTACAAAATTCCTTTTTGTTTTGGGCATTATTCCAATAGCTGCAACTCAAGGCTGGCAGTCATGCATATGCTCTGGAACAGAGCATATGCATGATAATTGCTTTGCGATTAGCAAATCGCAACGTCTCAAATCGCGATTTCGATTCGATTTCGATTAATCGCACAGCCCTACTTTTAACTTAAAATTTAGCTTGCCTGTTGAGAAGAAACATCCAGTTTCTCCATCTTGTAAAAACACTGCCATTGTTTACTCTTGTTTTACCCTGTTGTATGTCTCTGTGTATTTTGGCAAGTCTGCAAATTGTGGATCATACATCTGTAACAGAATCTGAATTTATTTTTCCACACTTTGGACTGAATGCAATGATTGGACAAACATTTTATGGTCCTGAGCCTTCCATGTGTATTCCATTTTGTTTTTAATCACTGCTTTGAATTGTTACAAATGTTACAAATCACATTGTAAGTGCAAAGAAAATATTTTTTTATGTGAATAATGATCAGTGATGCACACTTGAAGATGCATTAGTGACATGACACTGCTGAACTCGTTCGGTCATCAAATCATCAAGTATATTAGCTGGTTTAAATATAGTTTCTATGACACAGTACTGTACAAACTCTACCACATGCAGTACACTGTTGGTGGTGCGCAGTACATTTACAAAGACTGTTAAAGCTTTCCCAAATCTGAGTGCTGGCAGTGTTTCACATTCATGTCTGTCCCATTATTCACTGTTCAGTCAATTCCAGATGGATAAAATCATGTCCACCATTACTATTTACATATTTATTTAACAATTATTAGCTTGTTTGACTCATATGTCACATTATGAAAGTAAAACAGGCTAAAATGAGTTTGTGTGTATTTCAGGTGCAGAAGGTGTTGGATGCAGCTCAGGTGAATAAGGAAAGGAGTGTTCTGAGCCTGCATAGACAAGTGTGGCTCCAGGAGCATCACAGACTCAATAGAGCCAGGTAGTACACCTGTGAATGCTAAAACTGCATTTTCAAATCTTTATTTAAAAACACTGGAACTTTTAACATTTGGCGCCAAATTTACTAAAGCATGGACATTTTTTTGTGGCTCACTTTATTGCATATGCATTTGTGAAAGCATTTAGATGTAAAATTTATAGGAGTAGAAAATAAATCATGCAATGTGATTTACTAAGGTTTACGGTAGTCAATTTATTGGTATTTGAGCCATTGTTTAACACAAAAAAAGCAATGGATCTTAACCCATTTTGCACCTTTATAGATAGTAGATTACCTGCACCTGATTATTAAAATTAGCAGACACTATTAGGGGATAAAGGGAGAGGTGTAAACACAGGAAGATGCTGGACTTGGACTAGAATAAACAGTCAGGAGCCCCGGAACGGAGCAGACAACAGACTGGAACCAACTGAGCCAAATAGGAGCAGAGCATAGCGGACAGGGCTGAGGTGAGCATAGAATGGCAGGCCAAGCTAGAAGCAGATTGAGGAGAACCAATGAGATAAACTACCAGAGGGATAGGCTGAGATCAGGTGGATAGTGCCAAGAGACAGGACTGAGTTTAACAAAATCAGTAAAGAAAAAAAGGAAAAACCAAAATGGCACTAAAGCCAAAGCAGGGTAGATTAGCTAATATTAGCATCAAGCTATAAGGTACACAATTTATGAGATAGTATAGGGTGACCATACGTGCCATTTTCCCAGGACGCGTACTTGCCAGGATTTGTTTTGGCTTTGTTTTTTTACTGTTTTCATGCTTGCTGAAGGTAATGATCGAAAAGTAGTTTGACCAATAACATGCAGGCATTGTACATAATGGACCAATCATGGTGTGTGTGAGAAGGTGGGATCTACGGTCAAAGCGATGCAATTACGCGTACATAGGATGTGTGTTCGACTTAAAAGCAGCTCATATCGATCAGTGTTTGACATCAAAGTACCTCGAGAGCATTTTGAAAGCATAAGGAACCATCTGTATGGTATTTTGATGTCATACACCGATCAGTCTGCACACGCAAACAAAGCCAAAACCTAGATATTTTAGGCAACATAGAAATCCTGGCCAGGACGCGTCCGGGGAAAATGGCACGTATGGTCACCCTAAGATAGTACACTTTTAGTATGCTTTTACTCAAAACTCACTTTAAACCACCATCAAGGGTTTGTAATAACCTCCATTTGTGATCTCATGTGGATTTTGGTCATATAATGTTGTTGAAATATGCTATTTATAGCCTTTCATAAGCAGCGAATCACTGCACCTGCTTAGCAATTCTCATGTAAACATTCACATCATAGACGCCGATCCCGAAAACTTGAGATATTGTCTATTCACTATCATATTGGCGAAACAGATCTGGCAAACTATCCAGTTAATATTTGTGTTTGCACTTTGGAGAGCGTCAACAGGTTTATTTTCATCTTGTTTTCTGCAGCGTTGATTAAGAAATCAACGCTGCAGAAAACAAGATGAAAATAAACCTGTTGACTCTGTTGACTCTATCGTGACTTTGTTGGTGATACACAGCCCTAGATCCTATTGCTGGTTGAAGACTTCAATTGTGTTATGTCACAGTATATGGATAGGCTGCTGACTCTAAAATTTTGTCTCCCTAAAATGAGTAAGATGTTATCTCGACAACTTAAGGAAATAGATTTAGAGGATGTTTCGAGACAGAAATTCCCAAATATGAAATATTTTACCTTTTACTCTATTAGGCATTCATTATATCGGCTAATTGATTACTTATTCACCCCTATATCAGAGCTGAATAGATTAACAGGTATTAAAATATTGCTAATAACACTCTTAGACCATGCTCCTTTGACACTAGGTTATAGACTGATATCTCGGTTATAGACCAATATCCAGGCAGTGGAGATTTAATTTTTGCTCAATGATAATGCATTTATCACATTTATAAAAGAAGAATATCCACATTAATATTAAATGACTGAGCTAAATGAATATTATGGGACTGTGCCTATCTGAGAGGGTGCTGTTAACAAAACAGAAGAGGGCAACACAGGAGATGTCCAAACATACAGGAACTTTATTGACATTAACTGATTAGCATAAGCAGAGATATCAGGTGAGTAGTAGCAGTCTTGAGAATGCAAGCAACACTTAACTGAATGGTAACAGTCTTTTCCTGTGTCCCAATGTGTCCATTTATACTATGCCATTAAAGTATGTATTCTTTTGGTGAGGAAAAAGTACACACGTTTGAGTGTGTAATAGAAGAGTAGGCAAGCTTTGGGACATACTATCACCTCATACAATTGCTTCTTTAACGGACCGCATTTAGAATGCGCACACTAATTCTAATCTCACTTTCTATTTAGGATGAATAGAAAGAACATTGGGACACAGGGTTTGCCTTTAGCAGGGTGAGGATAGAGTCCACGGTGATGAGTAGGATGAAGGCATACAAATGAAGGCTTGCTGACAGATCGAAGTAGGTAAGTGTTACAGGCAAGTAAACAGGTAGGTTGCAACATGAGTGTAAACAACAAGACTGGACAAAGCATGTGAGGTTAGTGCTGGCTTTTATGGAGGAACTGATAAGGCTAATGGCAAACAGGTGTGGTGATTGAGGAATCTGCACAGGTAGGAATCCGGAGGGATGCTGGGAAATGTAGTTCAATAGTGACTGGGCAGGTGACTGAGGATTGTGACAGTACTCCCCCTCCTAGAAGGTGCAACCTCGCACCAAAATAGCGGTGTAGATGACCACCAGGGCGGAGCAGACAGCAGTGAAGAACCCCTCAGTAAGACAGGCAGAGTTGAGAACCACTACGGCGGATCACGTGGAGCTGGAAACCACTATGGAGGCACAGGTGGAGCTGGCAGAGCAGGAGATCCCCAGGGTGGAGCTGAAGACCTCCAAGATGGAACTGAAGGCCACCACATCCAAGCAGACAAGTCTAACCACAGACAGAGCGGTTGGTCAGAGACCATCAGTTGGATTTGCTGGCTTGAAATCACTTGGATGTGTGACAGAAAACTCAGGCTCGACCTCCTTGGTCATTTCTAAACAGACAAAACTCAGGAATGACCTTCGTGGACGCATCTAGACAGACAGGAAACTCAGAAACGGGCTCCCTGGCTGTAACTGGGCAAACCCAGTTTTTTCCCAAAAATTTCCCAAAGTTAAACCCATTTTGGGAAGATGTTTATAAAGTACTTAGTGACATGTCCAACACTGATATTCCTTTTGACTCCATTTTAGCTATTTTAGGGGCAATACCTGAGGATATAAAGGAAAGAAAATTGAATTACTTACTTCAGATATTACTTGCAGCAGCCCTGAATAGCATCACGTCTAAATGGCTCAAGCTAGAACCACCCATACATGAACAGTGGATCCAACAGTGGATCTTTAGCTGAACATTTTGAGGCAAGATGGAGCTTAATTTCAAGAGTATTACACAATGACTCATGAACCAAAAAGTAGGGGTAGAAATGTGCATACATACCTATAAATCTGGCGTGTTATTGTTTTGTTCCTATGCTTGCTTTAAAGGGGTCATATGACGTTGCTAAAAAAAGAACATTATTTTGTG